CCCCCACCCCCTGTGGTGGCCTCCTCTTAGCCTGCCTCAACTCCCTTTCCTCCAAGAACCGTAGACAGACACATATTGGATGCTTATTTGGCTAACTGCAGAGGCAAGAATTTCATCAAGGTAATTCAAAAAATTACTCTTGTGCGTAGAGAATTCAACAATTTTTGTCTACACCAAAAAAAAAAAAAAAAAAAAAAATCATCTCTATGCATAGTACAATTTTCTGGCAGGGTGATTCAGTAAATGGAACCCTTCGGTAACGGAAATGTAAAAATTGTTGTAGTGTGGATGACAATTTAGATATTTGCCTGCTTTAAGACCATTTTTGTCTTTAACTCTTATCCAGCTATTGTTAATACTAGTAAATGTTGGTCGCACGGGCCAACAACACAGATACAAATGTTTTATTGCATCTTATAATTTCTTTTTCATTCAATTTTTTGCTTCATTTTTGTTTGTTTTAGATAATCCAAAGATTTAAAAGTTGCTTGTGATTTAAATTTGTTGCTCATGAGATATTAAAACAATTTCAAACTTTAAAATATGTGTAAACGGTCGAAATAGATTTCGGCCTTCGCACGTCTGATCGAGTTCGAAAGATAAGCGATCGAAGTGAGACTTCGAGATGAGTTCCGAAGATGGTACAAACAAGCTTCAAACTCGAGGGCCCGATCAATGTCGAGTTCGATATCATTATCAAGCTCGAATCCAAATCAAACTATGATGCAAAGTAAAGCTATCAAGCTTATGATCCAGAGACCGACCGATATTGACTCCGAATTAACTCAAGGGTCCGAGTCAGAATCGAGCTTAAGCCAAGATCGAGAGCTCGAGTCTGGATCGAGCTCAAGCCAAGATCGAGAGCTCGAGTCAAGATCGAGCTCACATACAAAAGCCGTTGCAATCCCACTAGAGGAGAGAATCTTGGCAGTAATTATGAAAAAGCTGATCTATCATGGACTTCCCACTGAGTATTTTTAATTATATTTAAAGTAAGATCCCTCTACTATAAAGGACGAGGGTTATCATTTCTGGAAGGGCAGTTTTCACAAAGAGCTCACATTGTAATTCAAGCACGATATCATCTTATATTCAAGAGTTACTCTTTTAAGCCTAAAAAACTGATCCATCTTGCTTAGTCCTAAAAATTATTTTCTTCACAACTTTGTTTATTTTACATTCTTTGCAGTTCATATTTGATATTTTCTTTTATCCTTACGATTTGTATTAAGCTATACCACATATCCTTAGATCTACGTATAAATTCAACTCTATCCGTTTTTCGGGTAAACAGTTTGGCGCCCACCGTGAGGCTAAGGATAACAGTGGTTATTTGATACGAATCTGAAAAAATACGCCATTGTGTTTTGCGCTTGTTTCCGAAAATATCTTGAATTTCGGATTAGCTACGCCTAACCACCAATCAAATGGCTTCACCAATCGACAACAGAGTCGGCCTTCAAGACGAAAATAACAACTTGACACCCAGTACTAAAAGACCACTTGTAAACACCGTTGGAGCTCGAATCGGAGCGCCAATAGATATCAATTCGCATGTAGCCATTGAGGCGAACCTACATGCTGAACTCAAGAATAGCATCCATGGTGGTACTCGGTCTGCAGCTCGAGATACCCATAACGTCGAGGAAAACGGCATTAGCTTGCGTGTTATTTTTGAAATGTTGTAAGCCCAACAGGCAGCAATAGCTCAGTTGCAGAGTCAAACCCAGCTACGAAGCAGGCCGGAACCCAATCCACCTCGAGAAATCACCCACAGAACGGGGCCAGCCATAGTGAAGTCAAATGAGCAAGAATCGGGGACTACTCCCGAAATTGCTAAATTGCTCGAGGAACTCACAAAGCGAGTCGAAGCCAACGATAAAAAAGTAGAAACTTATAACTCTAGGGTCGATCAGATCCCGGGAGCTCCACCAATGATAAAAGGGTTGGATTCGAAAAAAATCGTGCAAAAACCTTTTCCCTCGAGCACAATCCCGAAACTAATCCCCATAACATTTCGTATGCCCGAAATTTCCAAATATAACGGAACGACCGATCCCAACGAGCACGTCACTTCTTACACATATGCCATCAAGGGCAATGATTTAGAAGACGATGAAATCGAATATGTGTTGTTAAAAAAATTCGGAAAGACCCTCTCGAAGGGGGCAATGATTTGGTATCACAACCTACCACCAAATTCCATCGACTCATTTGCCATGTTAGCAGATTCTTTTGTGAAAGCACATGCCGGTGCCATAAAAGTCGCAACAAGGAAATCGGACCTCTTCAAGGTAAGACAAAAGGATAACGAGATGCTGAGGGAGTTCGTATCTCGTTTTCAAATGGAACGAATGGACTTGCCACCAGTCACAGACGATTGGGCTATTCAGGCTTTCACTCAAGGTTTGAACGAAAAAAGTTCGACGGCTTCATGGTGATTAAAGCATAACCTGATTGAATACGCAGCCATCACGTGGGCCGACGTGCACAATCGGTACCAATCAAAAATTAGGGTCGAAGATGATTAATTGGGGTCTAAACCCACTGTTTGAAGGGGTACTAATCGAGAACGAGGTCCGATCGGGGATCGATACCAACCGTACAATGGAAGCCACAAAGTCAGTGAATCGAGACATAACCTCGGGCAAAATAACAAAAGAAGTGATCGAGGTCAAGGGTCCCGGGGGCTGATGAACAGAAATAGGTTCGATAGGCCTGCCGGATCTAAGGAAGCACCTCGGCTATCGGAATATAACTTCAGCATTGATGCATCCGCCATCGTTTCGGCTATCGGACGCATTAAAGATACTAAATAGCCTCGACCCATGCATACCGATCCTTCCCAGAGGAATCCCAATCAAATGTGTGAATATCATGGCACCCATGGCCACAGAACGGAAGATTGCAGGCAACTAAGAGAGGAAGTAGCCCGGCTATTCAACAAAGGGAACCTTTGAGAATTTTTGAGCGATAGGGCGAAGAACCATTTTAAAAACAGGGATTTCGGCAAGCAAAACGAACAAGACGAACCACATCACGTCATTCACATGATCATCGGCAGCGCCAATATCCCTCAGGGACCAGTGCTTAAACGCACTAAGACATCGATTGTGAGAGAAAAGCGATCTCGAACTCAAGATTACACACCCATAGGAACTTTGTCCTTCAATGATGAAGATGCAGAAGGAATCATACAACCTCATAACGATGCACTAGTAATATTCGTACTCATGAATAAAACTTAAGTTAAGCGCGTGTTGATTGATCCAGGTAGCTCGGCCAACATCATCAGATTGAAGGTCGTAGAACAACTCGGCATGCAAGACCAAATCGTACCCGCAACCCTGGTTCTAAACGGATTCAATATGGCATGTGAAACCACCAAAGGCGAGATAATTCTACCAATAAACGTGGTCGGAACCATCCAGGAAACGAAGTTCCACGTGATCGAAGGCGACATGAGATATAACGCCCTTTTCGAAAGGCCATGGATCCACAACATGAAAGCTGTACCTTCGACCCTACACCAGGTCCTCAAATTCCCAATATCGAGAGGGGTCGAAATAGTGTACGGAGAACAACCAGCCACAAGAGAAATGTTCGCCGTCGAGGAAGCGAAACCAATATCCTCACCTTTGCCAGTAAAGGGATCGGGCTCAGAAGGGGAGCGAGATACCAAATAGCAATCACAGACATCGGCCTTGACCCAATCAGTAACCAGAAGATCGAAGAAGATGATGATCAGAGGATCCCTCGATCCTTCGTGATTCTCGATGACTCCGACGCCACCAAATCAACGATTGAGGAACTGGAGCAAGTCACACTAATCGAGCACTGGCCCAAATGGAAGGTATACCTGGGAACGGGGTTGAGCCCCGAACTCAGGAAGAAACTTATTCAATTTCTTA